TCGTTATTTAAGTTTCAAAAAAGAAAGAAATCTTTACATGAGATGGATTGGGCGAAAACGTCCCTAAGTCATATTAAATCATTCGATTCTAATCATTATACGAGAAAGGGATTGTTACACTTACCGATTTCTTGTCGAGATCGCTGAAACGAGAAAAAATTTTAATACTAGTCAACGTTTTTTTCTCTTCAGTGCATGGCGCGTGTTTCCATCGCCTGATGCAAACATGAGGAAAACTGACTGTATACTGTGTTATTATTGATTACTTCTTTCAAAGAATAAGGCCATCAAAATGCACGATACATAATAACCGTGTTTATGAAGTCTCATTCAAAAGTACCATACAATTAAGTACAATCACAGCGCCCCATTTACAACGTCTGTAAAGAATTTTTGCTCAGTAATATATCATAAAATTAATCTGCTATAATTGAACTCTCTTTTTATCATATAATTAACAGCACATTATTATTTCTACCCTAATTTCTCCCGTAAACGTAATTATCTATCTCATCTACATATATTCAGGATATTACATGATGTGACTCCTAGGCAAAATATGTAAACTTACCCGAACCACTGCGCAGTCTCCGGAGGAGGATAATCAGAACGAGAATGATAATCAATAACACGATGATGATAATGTTATACACAATATGAAGAGTTGTCTCGTTACAAGACGAACCTAGAATAAACCATGAATTTTAGATGGTTAGTCATTTGGATGCCCAGTAAGATATGCATGAGAATAACAATTTGTCCATGGATTTACATTTTTTGTCATGCCTAAACATTCCCGTATGAGTAAACTAACAATAAGTATTTTTTTCGTTAAACGGAAACACATTAGTGAAATGATGCTACAAAAAGCTACCGCAGGCGGGTGGAGGGACTGCTGCTTTAGTGCAGAACACCTGGGGGAGGTAGGGCATGTGGAAAAAGTTGATAAGTGATGATCGTCGTGTGGATTTCTTGCGAACAATTTAGTGTGATATTACCTTTGATTATAGCCTTCATCGAGTATCTCACGGTTTATATCTCAAGTGACCTTTATAAATGTTACGGTATTGGAAGAACCTTGCCAGTCTCCCGGTTACAAGTGGTGAAAGGATTACCCTTGGCATCAACAACAATAATGACCTTACCTTTGCTTTTTGAGGCAATTGTTGGTGGTACTAAAGCAAAAAAGTAAAGAAATATGACGACTACATTATTTGTCGGCCAATAAATATTTAGGGGAACATTACGAGAGATTATGTTCTGAATGAAACAAAGTAAAGTAAGGAGTAGACTGGAAGCCGAAAGCCGTTGTTTTGAAGTTTGAAAGCCGTTCCCCAAGATAGACTTTTATATCATTGCAAACATTGTGTGATTTTTTTGGAAATTTTTCTCTGGCAATTACAAATTGAAATTTCAAATCGAGTCCACAGTAGGCCTTTCAATTGTAGTAGCTAGACGTGTAAAATGCTGTCATGGTATAAAGATATATTTAGGGTGGAATAGTCATAACAGTGAAGTAACCTAAATTTCAATTAAATCAGTAAAAATATAAAACTGTAAACATGCCTCGTGATGCCTTGACTGTCAAGATCTTTCCATCTTGTTTTAAACTTTCACCAAGTTCACTTGTTGCAGTAACCACAAATTCATACACCTGGCCGCTTTCCATCTCAACGGTCAATTCTCTAATGGAGACATCTGTAATTGTCTTCAACTTGATCCACTCTCCTGGTTTACCATCAGTCACTATTCTTTGATACACAGTGTACTGTGTGATCACTCTTCCATTATTTTCCGGTTCACTCCACCTCAGGGTAATTGTATCGTCTGTTACCTCATTTGGCAGATCATCAATTGTTGCTGCTGCTGGGACTCCTTGGTTTACCAAAATGATCAGTTAGCATTATTGAACTATCAATATATATTTCCTCTTTGTAAATCCTTTCCATGTCAATAACTCAAACTTACTATTTGGCGTTACCGTATTCGTTGACAGTCACATAAATAAAGTAAACTATAGAAAAGAGCTTGATCATTTAGCCATAGTATACAGTGTTTTATTGTTTGTTTCTTTTTGTAGGGGAGCGCGGAGAAAGGTCTTATATTAATCTAAATATAAAACTCCTCAGAACGACGTATCACACTTTATTACCTTCATACTTAGTCCTCACTTCTTTTTCTGCAGCAGGTCCCTCAAACACAGCATTCCTCCCAAAAACCTTCCCAAAGTACTCGGTATCTCTCTCCAGATCTCCAACAGACAGACTTTTTGTACCAGGGTCAGTAATATTTATATTCTTTATCTTAGTGCCACCCTTTAGTATGACCACTCGGTATGCTGTGATAGGACTTCCTCCATCATCAGCTGGTGCAGTCCATTTTACTGTCAGTGAAGTGGCTTGAATGTCTAATTGTACGATGGTTGGGGAGCCTGGCTTCCCTAGGAAAACAATGAAAATGTGAATCACACATTCTAAATCCATATATAAACTATTTCCAGCTATTTATTACTTGATTCATTCCTCGCAGTAACTTTGTGCATGAATTCCTTTTAAAAGAGAAAAAAAACCATTAAAAAAAAGTTATAGCTCCATGGCCTGCATACTTGATAACGAGCTTAATAATCACATTTTATTTTTAAAGGCCACCATGAATAATTATTATTGCCCCATTGTCAGTTCAAGGTGAAACAGATAATAATTGTTCAATTACTAAGAGAGAATTGTAAGCTGATTTTAAAAAAAAAGTTATAACTCATTTGATAACTGCCTTTCTTCAAAGAGATATAAAAGATCCGCACAAAATGTATTATTTGAAATTACGACAAAGGACTTACTAATTTGTTCTATTTTCACTATCTTGAAATCAGCAGGAGTGAGTCCATTTACAGCATCGCACTTGTAACCACCGAAATCTTGATCCACGTCCATCTTCACATCTACTGTGTTCTGTGTATCCGTGACGCTGTTTATTTGACTTCGATCAGGTTTGTACCAAGTGAGTGTTGGTGTAGGAACACCATCTGACACACACTTCAACGTCACTGACTGACCAATCCAAGACTTAGCAGCTGATGTAGTGGCTTCTTTTATTGAGG